TGACATATTTAGAGCTTTGAATTAACTTTCCAAATCTTCAAACGGTTCATCATTTGGAGTTCGGAACAGAAAGTTATGGCTATTTTACCAAAGTAGTGCAAAGTAGGTCAAGAGGAAGGAATATACTGGTCTAACTTCGAGCGCTCGAAGTGCTTAGTTCGAACGCTCGAACTATGGGCAGACTACTCTCCGGGAACCATCACTTCAGCCCACTTGTACCTTGTTTCCCTCATCTCTGATTTCCATCTTTATGGGTTGGTTGGAGATGTCTTTTGGTGGGGTTTTGAGCCTTGTTTGGTGGAGAGGAATGTCTACAAAAGGAAGAGGACCACACATAACATCATATCTCATCTTTGCAAGATTTGTGGAGAGAGAAAGGGGAGGAAAAAGATAGAGTTCTTGAAGCCAAGGAAAGGGAGCTCGAAAATGGAGGTTGCAACCAAGCTTCTTCATTCTTCTAAAGCTTCCATGGGTAACTAAACCTCCATCTAGGGAGGTGATGAGGCCCCTCCCTTGTAAGCATGTTCTAATTTAGGCTATATTTTGGGGATTACAATGTATATTCTTTGGTCTTTTCATGGTCTAGAGCATTTTCCTTTTGTAATGGATCTTCATGTATTTAAATGATTAATGTTGAGTCAATTATCTATCTTTGATGGTTTATTTTTTTAATCATGTTGCTTGCACTCTCATGGTGACAATGGTAGTGAGATCATGGAATTGTTTTAATGACATGGAGTTGGAGGACTTTGATAGATCATTGCTTAGGTGAAACCTTTGATGATTTATGCTTATTTCTTACCTTCATGTGCTTCATCATTTTATCTAGGGCTTGATAGTCTTTCATTCAAGTAAATGTGGTTAAGCTACACCTTAGTTAGGTAGTCTAAACATGTTAACCTTTGATGGATTATGCTTGCTTCAGATTTAATGAACTTCTTGAGGATATTATAGCAACCAAGTGTTGCTATGTATCATGACCATAATATATATTGTTTTTCCCCCAATTTAGCTCTAATCTAGCATGTGTATAGGGATGGAGGCAGATTCCTTTCCCTAATCCTCTTTACTTGTATTTCATTTCCCTTAAACTCTTGCAAACTTTTAATTTATGCACCTTAATTTCATAGCTTAAGTGATAACCAACAAATCCTCTATGAACACCCCTATCATTCTAAAAAGACTCTAGACACTTAGGTTGCCATAGATTAGCACAGTCCCAGTGGTTCGACTTACCCGACCAATAGCCCTGTTTTACAATGATTCGTGCTATTGCGAAGGTTGATTCTAGCCAATCTCAAGTTCAAACTTGAGCTCAATAAGTGAGTTCACTAGTCTTAATGAGTATTCTCATATGAGTACTCGTGAGTTTGGTGAGGCAAGCAAGCCAATCTTAACCTTGGCTAGCATTATCCGAGCCAAAAGGAAAACTAGCTACGATTCCTACAAATTATCACTAACTAGTGACTTCTAAATTCTTAGCATGACATCCAGCAACTTGACCTAAAGAAGCTACTTTTGATAATTCATATAATCTAATGTCGATCGTACTCCAAAACAAAATTTAGAAGATACAATGGCATCAAAAGATAACAATAATGGATAATCTATACTTTCACCTTAACATCTAAAGCCTTATCAAAACCCAAATGGTCCAAGAATTCAAAAGCATCTTGAGTGAAAACTTTTTCCCAAAGAAAGTTCATATCAACCCCAAATGTTGAAAGAGTTCAAAAGGATTACAAGGGAGTTAAATCTAGGCCAAAGGCAGTTTATAACAACATCAATATACAATTTATGTACCACAGGCAAAGAAAAAGAAACAAAAAACAGTCAACCATACAATATGGTATAAGAGTAATGTAAAAAGTAGAGCACCAATTAGATAAGACAAAAAGAAATGGTTGAAACTTAAACATGGTAATAAGTGGCACGAAGGCCACACATTGTGCCGCAGTCTCATCCCTTCAAGTTAAAGGAAGAGAATTTGAGAGGAAAATATGGCACAAGCCCAAATGCTCATATATCCAGAGCATGGTCAATATAGGTATCATAGGCCAAGTAAAAGTCACAAAAATAGAAAATAAAAATTAAAAATTAAAAAATAAAAAGAAAAGAGTTCACTGTGCCACTTAAACTCTTCCGAGCGTTCTCCGCTGCCTCTGGCTTTCTCATTTTGATTTTCCACCCTGAAAGAACATTCATTGCACAGTAGGCACAAAAATATATATCAAGATCAACAAAACAGAGCAATAGCAAATATAAGACAGAGTAAGTAAAATCATGCATCTTGCCTCTTTTTTCCTTTCTTTTTTGGTTTTACTCTTCTTTTCCTGGATTTCTTACTTCCACTACCTTCTCCTTGCAAAACAGGTGACTTCATACTAGTGATTGAATCACGACATTTTGCTCCAAATAAAACTAGGCTCTCTGTGTAAGCATCCCCATAAAATAAGTCCACATACTCTGGGTTTGTACATTCACCAATTTGTGGGCTAAATAAATGTCGTTCCATTTCGGGATCATAAGCTACCAAACACCCAAACGATGTCCAAAATAGAACTTAGCCGTTTTTTGTATAGCCGACTCTGAAAAAAAACTTATACCAATGTTTTTACTGAGTCCTCCGTACATATCGATATTGTATTGTTTAGTCCAAGACTTTGGATATGCCATATTCATCACCCATATGCAACACATATAGGTAGGGGTGTCAAAATGGGTCAGGAATTATTAACCAGTCCATATTCGTCCGTTAATGGTTATGGATAACTCATATTTAATTTGAGGGTCAAGATGAGTTGGATAATTTTTAACTACTTAATATGAGTTCACTTAATTTAAGGGTCAAGATGGGTTGAATATGATTAACCATATTCAACCTATATTTTACCCATCACATAATAAACATATAACACAAATCCATTCTATATTGCACTCAACTCATTTCTCTCTCTAAAATTCTCTCTCTGACAATCTTCTTTCTCTAAATTTTTCTATTATCAATCCCCTCACTCTAAGTTTCTCTCTCTAAAAATTTCTTCTAAAAAAAAATAAATAATTAAAAAATAATTTTAAAAATTTTAAAATAAAAAATTTTAAAACCATTCAAAAATAATAATTTAAAAATAAAAAATAATTAAAAATTTTAAAAAAAAATTAATTTTTTTTTAATAAAAAATAAAAAAAATTACTATTATAGTGTTGGGTGGCCCCATTCCCACCTTCCTCCTACTCCTCCGCACTCTTATTCTTACGTTATTCATTACCTCAATCTTTCTTTCGGTGTCACTAAAAATATAAATAATTGAATATGATATTATAATTTTACACATTTCATAGGTTTTTTTTTTTTTTTTTGGTACACTCTACCAAAGACACAGGGTAATATAGAATCAAAATAATGATTGCACTGTACAATTATTTTGAGACTTCTGCTGATAATAGTTGTCATGGGGCGTCGTCAACCTATGTAGCCTGGATTGAAGTCATTGTGCCTTTTTTTTGGATAACAACTGAGACATGCATGACTAGTAAATTTCTTCTAACGGGGGCAGGTCCAAATAGACAGTGGGTCCGTCACTTGAGTTGGTGGATCCAGTATTTTTGAATGGGGTAGGCTAACTTTGGATTAGGCTAATTTGGGGTGGGCTACCATTAATAATATATGTATATATATATTTTTTGGCTGAGCTTACAGAAGTATGGTAAAAAAAAAAATCTTTTTGGGGTAGGCTGAAGCCCACCTTCGCCTACCCCTAAGTCCGCCTTTGGTTGTACGTGTGGAATATGTGTTCGTATTTAGTACATAATATGTATAATTCAAATTAATTCGACACACTTTATACTTTATTTTCAGAGCAGATCTAAATATATTTCACTTGTAGATCGCATATAAATAGTATAATTATTTTATTAAAAATATAAATTAGAATATTATATTTAAATAAACGAAGGTTTTTCTTTGGGTTTGTGACATCTTTCTCAAACGTGGGTTTTCTTTAGAAGAAGCCAAAGAAAGAAAGAAAAAAAAAATTAACTATCTTGACACCAACTTCAGCAGTACTATGAGGGTAATGAATATGGGGTTTTCCCTTCCCCATCAGTGATCTATTGTAATATGAGACATCCATGGCAATACATGGAAGACAACAAAACAAGAAAACAATACTAAAAAGTAAAATTTTAAAAATAATTTAAAAAATTAAAAAATAAAAAAATTTAAAATAATTATAAAATAAATAAAAAAATAATTAATGGGTCCACGGGTCATAACTGGTTGATCCTGCCCATTTTCAACCCGTTCTGAACGAGTTGAATATGGGTATTGACCCAACCATTTTCAACCCAACTCAAACCCGACCCAACCCGCCCATTTGCTACCCTTACATATAAGTATGTATGTTTCCTAGGGGTGGTAAAAGTTGACACAACCTGCCAACACGACACGAGTTAAATGGGTTTGGGTTGACCTTAAACGGGTTCGGATCATAAATGGGTTGACACGATTAACCCGTCTAGTTAATCGTGTCGTGTTTGGGTTGAAGGGTTCAACCCGCGTAAGTAGTTTATACACGTTTAACTATATATGTGGTAAATAAATTTTTGTTTAAATTCTAAAATTACTATACAAACTTGTGTCTTATAATTTAATTTTTTGTAAACTATAAACTATTTAGTAACCTTTCAAGAAAAAAAAAAAAAACTATTTAGTAATTTGGTTGATTAAAACTTATATTTTTTTAATATTTATTATTTTATTGAGAATTATTAATAATTTAAATAAGATATATATATGTATATTTTTTTGTAAATAGGTCATTTAACGGGTTACACATGTAACCTGTTTAATAAACCGGTCATGTTGATGTTAAGAGTTCCTGACACGTAACCCGTTTAATAAATAGGTCATGTTAGTGTTAAGAGTTCCTGACACGATTATTAAATAAGTCATATTCGGGTTGAGCTGTTTAGTATAATGCCCTTAAGTTGACACGATATTACGACCCGCGAATATGAATTGCTACCCCTAGTGCCTCCAATACCAACATCCTCCGATACCAACATCGACACAAATTAGAGAGTGATTCTTGAAAATTGGCACCACGAGCATTATTCAACCAGTCATCACTATTGGGCAGCATGATCTCGCCAAATACCTCATCAACCAAGTGGAATGACACGATCAAGACGAACAGATTGCTCCTACTCCTAGTACTTCTCATATCCCTGGCAAGCCAATGTGTAGCCCCTTTCACATAAGCCTGGGCAGCATCCTTGCAAATGGTATATGGAAGATTCAAATGGCTGATGTTCTGCCATGTGCCTGTGCTCAGATTGAAAATCTCAACCTCGGGAGGATTTTGATCAAAATTAGGTCCGTTGAAATATTCAATCCTGACAACCTTGTAGTCCTCAGTCTCGGAATCGAAGCCGAACCCAATGTTACACATACAAGCATCGATGACAGGGGGAAGGGAAATCACCTTATGAATTGATGGATTCCAGAGATAGATGTCCTGTATCTCCTGTTGACTGGCCCAATCATAGGAAATAATGCACACGATCCCATTGCAGCCATGGATTGTACTTAGATAAGGGTCTATATTGACATCCAGTGGAAACTCGAGCTCTGCATAATCACAAAGCATTTCGTTTTCGCAACGTAGAAGTGAGTAATGGCTTAAAGTGCGATAGCTAGTGCGTATTTGAATTAGAAGATGGTTGTTGTTGGCAGCAGATGATCGATTGAGGTGTGTGGTGATGAAACTAGGGTTTGTGACCAAAGAGTACCATGATTTGCAGACACAAGCGCACCGAACGAGTGTTTTTACCGGTAGTCTCGCTAGGACATCGATCAACACATCATTAGGTAGGAATTCTGACATTTTTTTTTTTCAATTCCTCGCTTGAAAGAGAGAAAAAAAAAAAATCAACAAACAAAAATCCTAACTTTGTTAAAGCGTCGCGAAAGCTCTCTCCGTACTTTAATCCGCAGTAGGGTTTTGCTGAACAACCAACCCAACTTTGGCGGGCCAATCCGGCCCAACCCAAACCCAGCCTATAATTTTTGGGACTTTAACTTCTAAATTTACAAATTGTGCTTAAATCAGGTTGAATAACCCAGCCGTATTCGGGTTGGTCTCGTGTTCAGTTGACTGCCTTTTCTCTCTCCCTTTCTTATTTTTTGTTCAAAATATTTTAGTTTCGTCTTGGGGCTTGCGTTAGGGCTTCCTATATAAGTTGTTTTAGGGTTCCTTCTAGAATAATTTGGAAATAAAAGTTTATTCAATAACAAACAAAAGGAATTTTTTATATTTAATTTTAAAATAAAATGAGACCCTTGAGCTGACATCGGGCCGACTCAACCCAACTTCAGGTTGAGTTCGGGTTGGGACTAGGCTAGGTTGAGGTCGCTCAACTTGCACCCCTAACCCTAACCCTAACCAAATTTGCCTCATTAGTATAACAAAGTTGAGAAATATTTTTTTAGCTACGCACATATTGCTTAAAGATATTGATGCCCGATTTTTTACATCATAATTCAATAAAAATGAATTTTTAATAATTTTAAGTGATTTTTATAAGATAATATTAATATGACTAATAAACCTATTTATGAATTTTGAGTTGATATCATTATTGACAAATTTAGTAGTTATACTCTTTACGAAATTACTAAACAAAAATAAACTCAATTATGAGAATATTTTTTTTCATTGACAAGAAACACACACCACTCTCACAAACACCTAGGGACCGCTCAATATAATTTGAGACCTTAGGCTAAATAATTCTTTGTAACACTTTTTTTCAAATAAATCTTTTGCATAGGTTTTGTAGAATTTTTTTCCAATAATTTATAGTCTTTACGAAATTACTAAACAAAAATAAACTCAATTATGAGAATTTTTTTTTCATTGGTAAGAAACACACACTTAGGGACGACTCAATATAATTTGACACCTTAGGTGAAATAATTATTTGTAAAACTTTTTTTTCAAATTAATTTTTTGCATAATTTTTTGTAGAACTTTTTTCTAGTAATGTATCATTTTTTTTTTTTTTTCTGAAATGAATTTATTTATTTATTCCTAGTTGATACTCACACACCCTCTTTCCGAAAATTGTTTACCCAAAGGCTCGAACTTGAGATCTGATGCTTCATGAGGCACTAGGGCTAAAGTTCTCACCCTCGCTAGGCCACTCCGATGTCGGGAAGGCAATCAAAATTTCCAGCTTTAGACTCTCATGAGTTTACTTTCTAAAATTCTTCTCAATTTTTTTTTTAAGACCAAAGTTCGTCACAATGTCAGTTTTTGCTCAACCAATATGGTCATATTTTAATCTAAAAACTAATTTCGTTGGCCAAGCCTCAGCTATTGGGAGTGACTTGGTCACGTTACTCTTTGAGTCTAATTTTTAAAGAATTTTAGTTTGCCACATTTTGATTAAAATAAATTTTTTATTATAAACTGTGCATATTTTCTTCTAGATGAGGATTGCTTTTCCATTCTCCGTTTAAACCTCACTAATCACGCCCTATAGAATTGAGGCGCGACAATTTTTGGTATCAGAGCTTAGGTTGTAGTTCCTAAGGGGTATTTTACTTTTGAGATAACATGCTATGAGATTTAACCTAAATTGGATTCAAATATGCCATGTGACACATGAACTTGCTCTGCGGCTTATGTGATTACTTGCTAAGTGAATTTGCAACTTGGTTAATTGAATTTTATAAGAATTTTTTATTAATTGCTGCGCAGATTTTCTTCTAGCTTAGATTTGTTGTTCCATTTTTCATTTTCACCTCACTAATCGTGCCCTATGGTCTTTGAGCGTAACACAAATCATCGGCTCTAATACCACTTGTTGGGGCGCAACAGAAGCGGAAATCGAAGAACCGACAACAATAAAAAAAAAAACCCGAATAGGCAAGTGTAGTTGGTCTAAATAAGTGGAACTTTCCACTTCTCAAAATCATCGCTGTAACATTTTTGTCAATCTACAACTAGTTCAACTTTGTCAGAATGTAATCCACAAACAACAAGAACATATGAAGATGAAACCAAAGCAATGAGGCAACAACAAATTAACCATAACAAAAGATTTACATGGTTCACCCAAACAAGGCTACGTCCATAGATGAAGAGATTCCACTATAATGATGAGGAGATATTACAATTTGTAGAGAATTACCAACACCGGAACGACTTGTACACACACTCTCACCTAAAGATTTTCCTTGTGTAACTGGATGCCTAGGTAGAGGTCCAAAACCCCGAGCCTTACATTGTGTACTGCGAGCCGCCTTCTTGTTACGAGACACCCTCTTGTCTTCTATTTTTATTCTACCAAACCTAATACTCTCTACCCATCAACTCAACAATTAGGCACTCACAATTCTTACACAATTATCCCTCAATTATATCTCACAAAAACTTCACTCACTTTTGTTACACACCCTCGCGAGGCTGCCCTTACGGGTTACATATCTCTCTACTCATACCTCTCAATACTACCATAAGTGTCTATTTTTATAGTCCCATACCAAATTCCATGGGGGATAAGGATTACAATTTCTTATAGTTCAAGACATACAATAAGATAATAACTTTAACATAGAAATTAATATTAATGGGAATTATGAGCCCCAATTCCTAACAACTCTGTTGCATGAAATTGTCTTTCTTTAGAAATTTGATATAGTCCAAAAATGCTTGTGAAATAGTTATTATGATTGAGTACTTACTACAGACATGTTTCTTTTATATAAAATTTATTTTACACATACTAGCAGGTATGTCTCTTGCCCAAACACGGTTTATCTTGGAGGTGGATAGATGTGTTTAATTTCTGCTGCTTTGCTTTACAATTTGTTGCTTCAGAATTTAGAGGCTTTATTAATTGATTTATTTATTTATATATTTATTTTTGTAGTCATTTTACTAACCACCTCAACTTTGCTTGGGCCGGAAACAAAAAAAAAAAAAAAAAATCTCTGCTTGGGCAAATTAGCTAGTTAAGGTTCTATTTGGATGCTCTATTGTTGTGGAGCAAAATGGTTAGGTCAACCAATTATAAAAAGGAATCTAATTAGCAATAGTTTCGGTTCAGAGGTTGCTAGATCTGCCTGGGCTGCTGGAAATTGCTTCTTTTTTTTTTTTTTTTTTTTTAATTTAAGAAATTTGATATTTTCTTCAAATGCTTGTGAATTAGTTGTTGTGATCGAGTACTTCTAACATTGATTTGTAATTTCTATAAAATTTTAATCTATGCATATTGGTAGGTATGTCTCTTGTTCAAACACGGTTTATCTTAGGGTAGATAGATGTGTTTAATTTGTTAATCTATTAGAGCTCGTTTGGCATGCGTTTTGTTTTAGGCTAAAACAGAAACAGTATTTTTGCTGTACGAGTGTTTTGGCAAAAATCGGAATCACGTTTTGGAATGACGTTTTGCTGTATAAATGTCGAAAACAGAAATATGCAAAACATGTTTAGTAGGTCATGCGTTTCAAAAATTTTGAAAACAAAATATGTTTGGTCACTCCAACTGTTGTCAAAAATAAAAAAAATAAAAATAAAAAAACAAAAATAAAAAAACATGTTTGGTTATCATTGTTTTTAATTTATTTTTATAAAATTAAAATATATTTATAAATTTATTTCTATATAAATAGTCATCATATTTTTAATAGATATATATATATATATAACCAAAGTGTAATTACAGAAGCAATTGGTTCAGTGAAAAATGTAGAATGTTAGTTCTAGTAATTGAACTAATAATTTGAACCATGTTGCATATTATCTTGATCTGAAACTACATTTTAAGTTATTTGAAATTTCCTGGTATAGTTTGTTTCTTTGGTGATGATTGTTCATAGGATTGTGTTTTCTTTCATTTTGCTCATTTTGCGCATTAGTGAAAGAAAAAAAAAAAAAAAAAAAAAAAAAATACTACACAGCTCTGATAAGAATTTTCGGCTCTTGTAAGTCTGTACTGGTGGGAATTCAACTCCAAAATACAACTCTTTGCCTTCTCTTCTGTAAGGAAATGTAAACCCCCACCAAATTACAAACACATCTTTTTTGCTAAAAAAAAAAAAAAAAAAAAAAAAAAAGAAGAGGAAGAGACATAAATGAATGAAGAAAGCCTTCATTTGTGCAAAATCTTGAATAAAAGAAAGGAACAAAAAAAAGGGATCTTTTTTGCCACTAAAGAGCAGTTCCCATCAATTGCACTACAAAATTCCTATTTTTTTCCATCCCGAGACCAATGTTTTGGCATCAACTCGAGTCTTGATGACATGCAGAGTTCCATCTTTTTACTGTGTTCTTATGATCTAGATATTATGATCACCTTTTTCATTTCTTATCCATCTATTTGGAATCAAACTTCCAGCTACAAAACATCCATCAAGGAGTCAAACATAAAAAAATAATAATAATAATAAATAAATAAATAAAAAGAAAGCACCCTGCTAGAATTAAAGCTGGCAAGGAAGCTTCTCAAATCATACTCAATTTTCTGTATTAGGAAAATGACAAAGAAACTGAGAACAAATTAAACAGTAGTAGGTGACATGAAACCAAGGAAAAAGAGGTTTCCTTGTGTCTCCCTCACCTTTTAAAGCATCAAAAGCTCA